TGCCAGATGGTATAAAGGTCTAAGGACAGAGCATGGGGCCGTTCCCATTGCATAGTTTATGGACTGATTGATGTGATGCTTCATTTATCTGACAGCACAAGTGGGAAAAAGTGGGGGTTCCTGTATTCATGGGTGTGTGTGTGGATGGCGACTCCAAACTAGCAGTGAAGCCAAAGCTATCTAGCACATGGCTCGGAAGACATTTTGCCATTGTCCAAGGCTCTAAGTATAAATAAACCTTTTCTTCCTATTTCCTCCCCCTCTAAAGAGCAAAGTTGGAGTTGCTTTAAGCAGACAGATGGCTCACAGATGCCATTATTGATGGCCTTGCATTATTAACCACAACCTATGCAGCTTGCAAACTCTAAAGGGATGGTGGTAGTGGGGGAGGTCTTTATAGCTTTGCCCAGATAATAAAACCAGTTGATTGTAATGAATGCATTTATATTGTAGAGCCATGGAGGGAGGGAATATGCTGGAGCAAGTTGTGCTTAGCAACTACCAAGAACATGAAAGTCAGTCTGTAAAGAAATTAAAACCATTCCAGTGTCTCCTGTTCACCCACGCTTACTCACCACTACAGTGAAAACCATTTCCTCTTAATGTATGACCTGACATGCACTAGAAACACATGGGGAAGAAACAGTGCGAACATTCTCCTCTGCTGTAACATAAAAGAAGCTTGCTGCTTTTCAGAATACAATATTGCAGTGATATCACCAGATAGTATGTTAGCTAGGCACCCACACACAACTTTATTTTTTTAGGAGCAGGGGTGATTGGAACAATCCTGAAGCAAACTTTGGAAGGAAAATTCTCACTAAAATTCTCAAAAATTGAATTTATGTAATATGCTATTCCTTCTGTAGCTTGTTTTTCTGCCTTCCAAAGTAGTTTTATTTCTATTTCTCTTAAGTAGTGGAAAATCCTTTCCTTTCCACTAGGAGTTCTCTGTCTACAATATTTGGTCCAAGTACTGGTTTAAGCTACGTTCTTAACAACTTGAAAGAAAACTGAGCATGGAAATTCCCAACAGAAATAGAACTGTCAATAACTTCTTTTGCGCTTTCCATAGTACAAAATTGCATTTTTTCAAACAGAATTGTCATAGTCTTTCTGACCCCACTGTTTTCAGTTTCCCCACCCAAGGATAAAACATGCATGTGATGAAATGGGATTTTAGTCTACAAAAGCCAATGCCATAATAAAGTTGTTAGTCCCTAACATGCCATATGTCCTTGTTGTTTGTCACTATTATGACAATCAAGCACAATTAATGATGTTATCTGTTCACAACCTTTGTGTAGTTCTTATGGAACTATAATAATCAAAGCTAAAGACTGAACTAAACACTCCTCTCACTCTCCCACTCCCCTTCCATCTTCTTCTCTCTTTATACTAGAAGGCAATGAAGCTGAATGTTAGAAGATTCAGGACAGACAAATGGAAGTATTTTTTTCACATATAGTTGGAATTAGTTACTAGAAGATGTAGGGATGGCCACCAACTTTGATATCTTTAAAAGGGGAATAAACAAATTCATGGAGGATTGTGACTCAGTTGTTACTAGCCCTTATGGTTATGTGCCACACCCCCCTGCCAGAAGCAGTGTGCCTCTGTATACCAGTTGTTGGGACCTACAAATGGGGAGACTCAAGGTTGTTGTACTCAGGTTTGTGGGCATCTGCTTTGCCACTGTGAGAACAGGACTAGATGGATCTTTGGCCTGATCCAGCAGGGTGCATACGTTCATCCTTTGTAGTCAGTCTCTGGGCTGTACTATGCTAAGTGCTACTCAGAGTAGACCCATTAAAATTAATGGACTTAAGTTAATAATGTTCCTTAATGTCCTTGGATTTACTCTTAGTAGGTCTAGCATTGGCTGCCACCTGCTGTCTCTGCCTCCCATGGAAACTGACTGGCTGGTTGACTTATGAGAAAGCTTGCTAAGAAGGAAAGTATTGTGATGGGGGGAACAGAAGTTGTTTGTTCTTCTAAAGCTCCTCTAAGAGTGTTTTCATATAGGAGGTTTCAGTTGGCATTTCCTAAATTAGCGCATAACGTGAATGTATAACCTACATGGGTGGGAACTTTTATTTCACTTTCTTATTCTATCCAGCCTTAACATGGTGCACACAAAGCACAAATGGCATGAGGCATGCTCCTAAGTGCTTTTAAGTGTCTTGCGTGGAAATAGCAAAAAAGAACCAGCTCTTGCAAAAAACTCAAATGCTTGTGGTTTTGAAGGAATATATAATGTTCATTCCTACAAGATTGGTCATGGGTTACTCATATTGTTTGGAATTGCTGGTCAGGAGTCATATGGCAACTTGATCTGAAGAAGATTGTTGCATGCTCCATCTAACAGAAATTATCAGTTCTGTGGGCGAAGATTGTGGCATTCGGTTGTTTTGTATGCTGCCTAGTGCAATGTTGACTTAAAATAAAATGAATTGTATGCTGCAGAGCTGTAGCATAGCAACTTAAGGGCCAAGGCAGATGCAGTGGCCCTAGAACCATGTGTCTCAAGTCACTGCAGAAGCCCTATAAGCAGGGTGAGGGCTCAGGTGTTTAAAAGCACAATATGGACAAGAGAGGGGAGGGGCTATGACAGCGAAACCCTTTTGTTGTCTACGTTTGAAAGCTGTTTTTCTTCAGTGGGGTTCCATGAGGAGAAGCAATCTCCACTGGAAGAAAATTTGCTTTTAAATTATTATTTTTTTAAAAGTTTCAGTGAGAAAAGTATAGGACTTCGCTCTTAGAGGACTGGCTCTATCGTTAGGCGGAATAAGACAGTTGCCTTAGGCAGCCAGTTTTGGGTATCACCAAGGTGGCCATGTGTCATAAGACAGTCCTCTATTTGAAGGCTGCCCTGTCCAAGTCTGGTTTAAAGAAAAGGAACTATAAAAAGTGAGAGCGGGAGCTTTGAAGTTGCTCATCAACAGTTTGTCTTCTTTTTTTGGAAATGCATAAATTGCTCCATTAGGTGTGCTGGCCTACATTCCTCTCCCCATTTTATCCTCACCCTGTGATATAGTTTCAGCTGAGAGTTGAACCCAGCAAGCTTCATAATTGAGTGGGGATTTAAATACAGTTCTCTGCAGCCCCAGTCTGCCATTCTAACCACTTTTACGCACTGACCTTACATCTCAGGACTGCTGTAGCAATGATTAGTATGTGGTGTTTTGCACATTTTGAGTTAGGCCGTGTGAATGTTAAGCTGTTGTCATTACTAGCAAAGCATCCATAATTACAGTGGCAGGTGTATGGAAGGGGGGGGGGTCTCCACTGCAGCAACATGGGATAGATATAATGTGCCCGCCTTAGTTTGGTTGTTGAAGATAAAGCTGGACTAACTAGAGTCAAGGGTGATATGTGGATTTTATCCAAATCTCAAAGTGTATGCTAGCCTTCACCAACCTGGTGTCCTCCCGATGTTTTGCGGACTACATCTCCCATCAGATCCAGACAGCTGGGGGCACCAGGTTGATGGGGGCTGGTTTAGGCTGTACTCCTCCCCCCCATAGGAATGAATGTCATTGTTTGCTCTGTCCCACAGAAGCAGGTGTTTTCATAACCGTCTTCCGAAAGGTACGCTGTAGCAGGTTAAACACAGAAGTATGGAATGTAACCTCCATCTCTCTCACACACTGTGGTTACACCTTGAATGCCACAGTAACTCCAACTCAGCTAACCCGTGGGGTGTTTTCCTAGGTGGCTTTCAGCCAAATAAAACCTTGTTTTGAGATATTTCTAACTCCTTTTTAATCTGAGCCCTTGTGGCTGAGGTCCAATCCAACCCAGCATTTTGTTCTGCTTCTTCCTTGCTATTGTAGCTCCTCCGTTTTCAGTCTGGAATCTGCAAACAGTTTAGCTGCACGTCCCAAGCATAATGTTTGAAAGAATGTGTCCTTAACACCCACTCCAAAAACATTGTCCCTGGCCCAGAAACACAGACAGTGCATCCTAATGAGGTCCGGGGATAAACACAATTATGTTTATTTATAAAATATACTGTATCAAAGAGTACTGGAAAATGCACCTGGAAGAGACAGAAGGGAGGCCAAACCACAACTGTCCAGCCATTCCTTGACTGAAACCATTGTGCTGCTCTTGTTGCTTCAACTTGTGGGTTTGGAACAGGCTAGGAAAACAGTCCTTAGCATGCAAGTCTTTGTTGCATTGTCACCTGCGGCTGCGAACAAAACTTGTATGTTTTGTCTATCTCTGCTGACTTTCAGATCTTGCCCTGCCGTTAAAGCTCCGCCAAATTCAAGAATGTTTTCCACATTTGTCACTGCACCTAGTATTTAGTAACTTAGAATTGGAACCTTGGAACAAAATAATCTAGGATTTTCTTCTTTATAATATAGATTGTGAGTTGGAAGTTGGTGGCACTCTAGGATTTTTCTCTTTATAATATAGATTGTGAGTTGGAAGTTGGTGGCACTCTGTTGCAGTGGTAACGCTCCTACCTAGAAGGCCTGGTTCAGAGAATAGTGTTGGGGGGTTGTATATCTGTCCCATTGCAGTTGTACTGTGGGATGCTGCAAGGCACTATTTTATTCCCAGCGCTGTTCACTATCTATGTGAAGGCACTGGAAGCAGTCATTAGTAGATTCTGGATATTTCTTTGTTATATCGGAATCAAGAGAGAAGCTGTGAATGTCTTGAAACAGTGCCAGAATGCAGTACAGTGTTACCTCGGGTTACATATGCTTCAGATTACATACGCTTCAGGTTACAGACTCCGCTAACCCAGAAATATTGCCTCGGGTTAAGAACTTTGCTTCAGGATGAGAACAGAAATCGTGCAGCAGCGGAGCAGCGGCAGCAGGAGGCCCCATTAGCTAAAGTGGTGCTTCAGATTAAGAACAGATTCAGGTTAAGAACAGATCTCCAGAACGAATTAAGTTCTTAACCTGAGGTACCACTGTAGTGGGCTGGATGAGGACCAACAAACTGAAACCTGGTAGGATCCTTCAAACAGAGAACAGTTAACTTTTGTAGCTCGTTTGGTTAGAGCGTGGTGCTGATAACGCCGAGGTCGCAGGTTTAATCCCCAAATGGGCCAGCTTTCATATTCCTGCATTGCAGGGGGTTGGACTAGAATGAACCTTGGAGTCCCTTCCAACTCTACAATTCTATGATTCTATTATTATTTTCTGACAACCCTTGAAATAAATGACTTTCCACTGCAAAGTAGGCCGCTTTGCAATGAAAGACGGCAGAAAAATATTTTAATAAATTAACCAAGCAGCAATTACATTCCACAGATAAACTGAAGTTTCTGTTTCTTCCACAATCAGGCAAGTGAGGGTCTGTAGCTTAGTGGTATTGCACATGCTTTGAATGCATAAGTTCCCTAGTTCAATCCCTGACATCTCCAGGTAGGCTTGGGAAACATTCCTGTCTGGAATTCTGAAGAGCAGCTGCCAGTCAGTATAGGCATGACTGAGCTATATAAATGGACCAATGATATAAGGCATGTTCCTATTTTCCAAGGTCCCTACACTCTGTAGCCTCCTAAAGCCGAGCTGTCCCCTTCTCTATTTTCCTACAAATGGAAGAAATGATGCTGTTAGCTAAAATGACCTTGTTTCATTAAAAAAAAAAAAAAATCATTTTGGCCCATTGGCTGATTAAGACCAGGATCCAAGTGACAGCATCAATCCATGCTCTTATAGCATGCCTTTCAGACCCAAACCCCAAGGTCTGAGACGCTGAGCCGGCCAAGGGAGATGTACTGAATTGTTGTGGTTAGTAAATAGGCCTGCTGTCGGCAGACTGCACTGTGCATTGCCATAAATAGCTGAGTTTGCAATGCCACCTCTAGCAAGCTGGGTGTAAGCCAGGGGCTAGGATCCCATTGGGGAAAGCTCAGGCAACAGAGTCCAGGAGAGACAATTTTAAATGGCCTACACTTCAGTATTCCAGAGTGCTGTGGTTAATTGATTTTTAAAAAGTATATATATTCAAGTCAGACATGCTGCAATCCTATTGAAGTCAGTGGGACTTACTTCCAAGTAATAGTGTTTTCAGTCTGGTTTGTAAGTTTTCCAATGTGCTGCTGTATAATGCCCAACTTCCTACCTTATGTGTAATTCCCGATGTCTAGCCATCTTTGCATATGTGCCAGTGATCTCCTCTTTGCTGGGGACAGTCAAGATTTTCTTGTACCTCTTCCCGGCAAATGACTGACTGTCTCCATTATGGCTTTGGATGATTTCGTGGGCAGGGGTGCATTTCAAAATGTAATCAAGAGTCATACTGCCTCCAGCAGTAGAGGTAGAGCAGGTTTGTCCTGGACACACCCCAGTAGTATCAGGCAGCAGAGTCAGGTGGCTGCTAATGGTCCAACATTGCTCTCTTGCTTCTGCCCCTCTCCTCAGCTACAACCCCACTTCCTCCATCAGCAATGCTGCCATCACCTCTTCCCTCTTCTCCTTCCCAGCTGTGTGTGCGAAGGTCCCTCTTCTGCACCCAAAGCAAAGTCTTATATAGGATAGAGGGATTAGGTGGCAAGTGATTGCTGGGGCTACCTGACGCCCAGGGCAATCTGTAGGTTGTGGGTTCACAGGCTTGCCAGGTGAGATGCCATGCATAAGGCCCATACAATACAGAAGCCAGCCCTGATTTGACATGTAGAGGTGGAAGAGGGCAAAAGACCACAGTAATTTCTAAGTGTGCATTAAACTTAAGACTTCTTGAAATTGTTAGTATTTCAGGGCTGAATTCAAAGTGTTATTATAACTTGGATTTTTTTTTTAAATCCAAATTTTAAAGTTATTTGGGAGACGGTTGTGCTGTTGTGGAGAATACATTGTGCAAACATTTTAAATGGTCAAATGTTAGAGAGTGTTTGCCCAGTTGCTGAGCCCTGGTTGTCCCTGCTGCTCTGCCAATATGTTTTGGGGAAACTGGGCAACACATACCACTTTTCAAAGAATGACACTCGGGGTATGTATGCATTTTCTTTAAGCTTAATAAGAAAATAGAATCCTCAATGTCCACATGGACTGATTAAATTTATATGCTGCCTCCCCAATAGTGCAGAATTGGCTTCACATTTTATGCTATATAATTATACATAATTCCAGGAAACGTAATAAAATTAGAAAATATCATAAAGCCCACTGTGCATCATAAAAATGACCCTTTCTATAACCACAAATGAAATTAATCAACACATGGCCTAAAGAAAGAGAGATGGTTAAAATAATGCATTGGGTTCAGAAGTCTCAGCTTCCAGTAGCAGACCACCCAAACAGTGTGGATATGGCCAAAATCTGCCCCACCCATTTTAAGAAGCTGATGGACGAGCAACCCTCACTGCTTCATATCACACGGTATCCACCTCCAGGTTCATTATATTAAATAGCATCGGGGGGGTGATGCAGAACTATATGATATGATATGATATAGGATATAGTGTGTGATGCAGAACTATGATATAGGAGAATGGGTTTAACCCTTCATACCTGCTATAAGGGGCAACTATAGCTGCTTTTTGAAATCAAAAGTTCCATTTGTCCTTAAACTTAAAAGATACTTTGTTTTCCTTATGGTTAATATCTAGCTCAGTGTAAGAATGGTCCATTTGTTTGAATCTCCCTAATGAAATAAGAATTCTCTCCGCAACAACATCTTATAATGGCCCACAGTTTTTAAGCGGTTTTAAATTGCTATTGTTTTAAATTGTTGGCTTTTAATTGTTTCCTGCCCTAGAAACCCTTTTACAGTTGAATAGCAGGAGAGAAATCCCTGCCCATAAAATGCAATAAATGGACCTTGAAGCAGCCCGGGGGGCAGGGGGGAAGGGCTGGTGGACAGAGCAGCAGAGCCACAACCGCCGCCCTGCACCAGCCAGTGGGGCCATTTCCAGGTTGGGGCCCCTCTCAGAGGTGTACAGAAGCTTTGGATTCTGCAATTCCTTTGCACCCAGCATGGTTCCTGTTGGAACAGAGAACCCTCAGAACCTTTGCATTATCATTATAATCAGTTTCTTACACCTGAAAGTGTTGTTTCTCTGAGTGACTTCTCATTTGATCTTGATGTGCAACTGGTATGCTTTGAAACCTCAGTAAAGTTGCTAGAAGACTAAATTGGTTTGATTTACAGCTTTGATTATGTTCAGATCGCTATACATCAATGCTAGAGTGGACAATGTACCACTTGTGAAATATAATGAGGTGATGGCCCAAGCAAGGTAGAGATTACAGTGGTGCCTCGCAAGACGAAATTAATCCGTTCCGCGAGAGTCTTCGTCTAGCGGTTTTTTCGTCTTGCGAAGCAAGCCCATTGACGGATTAGCGCTATTAGCGCTATTAGCGGTTTAGCGGCTATTAAAGGCTTAAAGGCTCAGGGGATTAGCTGCTAAAAGGCTATTAAAGGCTATTAAAGGCTTAGCAGATTAGATAAAGGGGGGGGAAAGCGGAAAAAAAATCTCAAGACTCGCAAGGTATTTTCGTCTTGCGAAGCAAGCCCATAGGGGAATTCGTCCTGCGAAGCAACTTCAAAACGGAAAACCCTTTCGTCTAGCGGTTTTTCCGTCTTGCGAGGCATTCGTCTTGCGGGGCACCACTGTACTAGGCCTGGAGTTCTGGAATAGGTAGCAGATGAACCCATGTCCATGGAGAAATGGATAAACCCCATAGATAAATTAGCGGTCTTGCCACTGAGAAAGAAAATACAAGTTGTCTCAGCAGTGTCTTGGAACAGCTAGAAGGGCTTTTTATAGTCTGGACTAGTTTGTCAAACCCGATGTCCTGAGTGTTGCATCTGGCCAATTAAAGGGCCACCACATTTTTATGCAACTGTTAGCTTTTTCTAGGTACTAAGGTAGGCTTCCTCAAACTCGGCCCTCCAGATGTTTTGAGACTACAATTCCCATCATCCCTGACCGCTGGTCCTGCTAGCTAGGGATCATGGGAGTTGTAGGCCAAACACATCTGGAGGGCCGAGTTTGAGGAAGCCTGCACTAAGGTTTCAAGCTGTAGGAACTGCTTTATGGGGAAATTCCTGATTCTCCAAGAAGCCTGTGGTCCAGCCATAGGAATCCAGTGCCAGAGATGTCTCCTCAGGGAAGTGGTCAGCGGAGTCACATGAGAAAGACCAAGGAATGAATCCATTTTCTTGGGGTTGCTGCCACAGAAGGACTGTGCACTTGAGGATTCCTGTTTTGGAGCATGGCATGCCCTGTTCCACCCTACTCTAATTTAGGGCCCACTCAATTCACCTGTTTTAGGGCCCTATAGGGCCCTATACTGACTACTGCTGATGGGAACATTGATGGTGGTAGCTTCTCAACCACCTTTCCTTTCAGGAGGCACAGCAGAAGGCTCTGCAGCAGATGGACCCCTCCGCCTAATCCTAATACCCTCCAATGTTATTGGGTGAATTGGATGGAATGGTAGAAGATTATAAAAAATATACAAAAATTCCACCAAAAATGAATGGATGATTAAGGTGTGACTTTTGCGCAACTGCCCAAACTAAAGTCATGGTGAAATATATATGGAATGCAAACTTCCGTAAAACATCACAAGTTTTAAAAATAGAAAGTCAGTGCAAATGTTTATAATTGTTTTACGGTTGTCTAGTTTTTATTGTATAGCAGCTTTTTTCCTTGCGTGTGTTTTTAGCCAGCAGCAAATTACAAAAATACAGTTTGTTTTTATTTTACAAAAGCAAGAAACTTGTTTTATAATTCATCTCCTCCAAGGAACTCAAGGTGGCACAAGTTCTTCTCCCCCTTCCCATCTTATCTTCATAACAACCCTATGAGGTAGGTTTAGACTGAGAGATAGTGAACTAACAGAAGGTCACTCAGTGGGCTGCATAGCAGAGTGGGGATTTGAACCTTGGTCTCTCTTGTCCTAGTGTGATACCCTAACAACTATGCTTCACTCCCTCTTACAGATATCTAAGCCACTGGCATCATCACATGCTGTGGCATCAAGTTCCATTTGTTCAGCTCTTTCACACAATGTGTAATTTTCTCAAGTTAGAGCATACTCTGTTTTGGGCCCAATCTGTTCAGTGCTTTGCAGACTGAAACTAGTCCCTCTA